CGTGCGGAGGGCCTTTTGCATTTGGGGCCACCTCCGGATCGTTGCATCTCTTGGATTTTGTTTTTTATTGTCTTAATTTTTAAATTTTAATTTTATTTATTTATTTATTTATTTTGAGACAGAGTCTCTGTTGCCCAGGCTGGAGTGCAGTGGCATGATCTTGGCTCACTGAAACCTCCGCCTCCCAGATTCAAGTGATTCTCCTGCCTCAGCCTCCCAAGTAGCTGGGATTACAGGTGTGCGCCACCAAGACGGCTAATTTTTGTATTTTTAGTAGAGATGGGATTTCACCATGTTGGCCAGGCTGGTCTTGATCTCTTGACTTCGTGATCCACCCACCTCAGCCTCCCAAAGTGCTGGGATTACAGGCATGAACCGCCGCGCCCGGCCTAATTTTTATTTTTTGAGACAAGGTCTTGCTCTGTTGCCCAAGCTGGAGTGCAGTGGCGCATTTATAGCTCACTGCAGCCTCGAACTCCTAGCCTCAAGTGATTCCCCCCGCCTCAGCCTCCCAGGTAGTGGGGACTACCTGGTAGTGGGAGACCATGCTCAGCTACTTTTATTTTACTTTTGTAGACAGTCTCACTGTGTTGACCAGATTGGTCTCAAACTCCTGGTTTGAGTGATCACCCCACCCTGGCCTCCTAAAGTTGAATTACAGGTGTGAACCACCATACCCAGCCTGTTGGTTTTTAATTCAAATTTTAGATGAATGGACTGATACTGAGTATCATTCCTGTCTCTGTGCTGCCCTCCAGCTGCGTGGCCTCAAGTGTTGTGCTGATGAGAAGCGTTTTCCTGAGAGGCTGGAGCATTGAGGAGAGGGCCTGTCTGCCGGGCGGCTTCACCTGGACAGGGTGCCTGGGGAAGGGGGCTGAGATGGCGTTTCTCTTCGCTGTGGGGAGTGGAGTGCGGGAGGCTGGGAGTGCGGTGGGCAGGGGGCGGCTCTGTGCTCCAGGGGCAGCTATTAGGCCCCAGCCTTCCGGGAAAGGCCCCAGGTCAAACCTGTTGCCCTGAGCCTTCCAGCTGCTCCTGCTCCAGGTAGCTCTAGTGCCCAACAGACAGCAACACAGAGGAGGGCTTCACCCAGCAAGACACTGTGGAGGTCCCCAGGGCTTTGGAGGGGTCTCTGAGTCACGGTGGGGGGCACCCCGAGTCTCACCATTGAGAAAGCTGGACTCCCTTCCCCCAGCTGGGTCACTTCCCTGTCTAGGTTGGTGGGCTGTTGGGGTAGGGGAAGGGCTTCGGGGTGGGGGCCAGACCCTACAAGCACAGGTGGACTCTGCCTGGGTTTCATTCCACCCGATCTGGCTCGGCACCCTCATGGGCTCCATTCTTTCCCTGGCAGAGCCTGCGTCTTTGAGACAGTTCACATCATCAACCAAATCATCTAAGGCATCTGTCGATGCCAGGCCTAGAATTTGGGGTACAGCAATTCTGCCTCAGCCTCCCAAGTAGCTGGGACTCCAGGTTACCACACCCAACCCCTCGAAGGGTTTATGTTCCAGCAGGGGAGACGGAAAGAAAGCGGGAAACTTAATATTTCACAATGCGCACCTTTATTTCTGCCCCTCCTGCGAGCTTCCTTTTTTGTTCTTTTTCTAACTTCTTGGGAAGGATACTTAGAACATGGATTCCCAGGCCCTTTTCCTTTGGAGTCTGTGCATCGAAGACTGTAAGTTTCCTCCAAGGCACCATTTGAGTAGCAGCCACAAGTTGACGTGTTGTATTTTCATTCTTCTTTGGTGCAAACCGTTTTCAAATTTGCAGGGTGGTCCCTTTGAACCATAGGCTGTTTAGAACTGCGCTGCTTTGTTTCTCTTTTAAATTTCTAACTTAGCTTCTATATGGTCAGAGAATGTTCCGTATTATTTCAGTCCTTTAACTTGGTTGCATCTCACTTTAGGGCCCAGCGTTTGGACAATTTTGGTAAATGCTTTACATATTTAAAAATAATGTGCGTTCTGCAGAGACGGGGTTTCACCATGTTGGCCAGGCTGGTCTTGAACTCCTGACCTCAGGTGATCCGCCTGCCTCAGCCTCCCAAAGTGCTGGGATTACAGGTGTGAGCCACCGTACCCGGCCCCTTCTTTTTATTTTCAAACTTTCTAAGGCCTCTTTGAGCACAGCGCGAAAGCTGTCCTGGACAGTTCAAAACCAGGTTTGGCCGGTGTTGGGCTGGATCTGGGCCTGGGACTGACTTTTGCCAGCCCCCTGTCTGGTGGGCTCACTGTGGCTCTGGCTGGCAGGGAGGAGAGGGGCTGATGCCGGGCTCTGCACTGACTGTGAGGGCAGCCTCCAGTTGGTGAGGCCGGGTCGGGTTCTCTGCTGTTCTTACTCCCACTGGGTAGCCCATCGCAGCTGCAGCCAAAGCCCCTCCTCCCGGACAGGCCCTGGACAGCAGGAGGCCGCCCGGCGCCCTCTCAGTCCCGCTGCTGACTGGAAGATGCCCAGTGGGGCAGCCTGTGCCGCCTGCACTCACCTCTCGGAGCTCCCCTGCTCTGGATCTTAGCACCCATGCTCTGTTTGTGCATAATAGACGCGTACACACGTGAATGTCATAGTGTATTAGGGGACGGGGAGTGCTTTGGGGAAAAGATCTGGTCCGGGGGACACAGGATGCTGGTGAGGGTGAGTGACATATCAAACAGGGCAGGTAAAGACAACCTCGGGATGCGACATTTGCAGAAAGCATCGAAGGAGGAGATAGTCTGCCTCGCAGCTGGATGTCTAGGGAATGGCGTGCCAGGCTGAGGGCTGGAGGCACAAAGGCCCCAGGGCATGGTGGCTGAGGAGGCAGGGGGGCCACGTGGCTGCATCAGGAGGGGCAGGACCTGGGGGTCTTAGGTCAGAGGGACAGTGGGAACCAGAGTCCGTGAGGCCCCCAGCATCACCCTGTGTGAGAGGAAAGCCCTGGGAGGGTTCCGAGAGGGAGCCCTCCAGACCCCAAGTTGAGGAAGGACCTTCAGAGGGTAGAGGTGGAGAGACCAACCAGGGGGCTGTGGTGGTTACCCAGGCGAGAGTGACCGTGGCCAGGGTGGTGTGGGCAGTGGGCTCTGTGTGTATTTCTCAATGGAGCCTGTAGTTACCTGCGGGTGGGCCGTGAGGATGGCGTGTGGATCAGCCTCACTCTTGCTGCTGTGACAAGTAGACCCTGACATTGCCACACTTGCCCCTGGAGCAGCTCTGTTCTCGCTCCCGTAAGGCCCAGCAAGGGCTCCCCTGATGGGCAGGTGTCTTCCCTTCTGGGGTGAGCCGGGACTCAGACTCCCAAGACCCTCAGTGCCACCAGCCCAGAGGGCCTGGAGTCCCGTGTGGCCAGTGAGCAGCTGGAGGCCGACACCCACATCCACAAATAGCACCAAGGGGGCCCAGGCTCCTGCTGCTCACAGGACCTCAGGGCTGGGAACTGCCACGCCAGGGGCCCTTAAGCCACCAGATGAGGGGCTCCAGGTAGGCGAGTGTGGGTGGGACAGAGGACCAAGGACTGGGCTGGGGTCCCGCCGGAAGCACTAAGCGGGGAGAGGAGCACCATCAAGGGAGACACACAGCCGGGAGACAGAAGGGCCCCGCCCGGGAGCCTGAGCAGGCAGGAGATGGGGGCAGAGGGTCTGTCGGGTGCTTTGGCCTGGAACAAGGCCCCTGCCAGGGGCGCCTGGGGGCTGCAGGTGTCCCCCTACTGCGTTCAGGTATGAACTGGGAGTGTGTGGCCCCGGCCAGGCCCATTGCAGATTGGAAAGGGGCTCTTCAGGGGTTTGGATCCACAGAGCACCATGTACCCTGCAGACCGGAGGCCCAGCTGGACGGAATCTCGCTGCAAGGTCGCCCTTGGGGGCTTCCCACAGCCAGGTGGGGCTGGGGGATGGGAGAAGGCGTCTTCCTTCCCCCCCCACACGCCTGCCCTGCCCCCCAGCCATTGTCACCCATGGCCCTGATCCTGCCCCCACCCCAGTTCACACCAGCACCCCCAGCAGACACACCAGGCTGCGTCATTCATTTAATGCTGCTTTTCTTCCATTTTCTGGCAAAAGCTGGGTCCGCCCTCACAGCTGTCTCCTCTTACCCAACGGCTTCTGCCCAGGTGTGTGGTCACCCTGAGTTACCCCATGGGAGCCCCTCGGCTGGCCAGGGCTGGTCATGGTGCTACTTCTTCTTCGGAATTTTCTCCTTTTTGATCAATTCAGAAAATTCTAGAGCAGGAGACCAATTTCTAGTTAGTACCCCTGTTTTGTGTCCCCCAATCCCTGTAAGCCCTTTAACTCTCAAAGGAGGCAGAGGGAGTGTGCCTGGACGACACAGTCCCCAAGCCCTTGGGTAGGGACCAGGCCGCCAGCCTGTCTGGCCGGGGCCCGACGCTGGAGCTGTTTGCCCTGGGCCAGGCTGCTTGGTCGTGACGAGTTGACCCCGGCCGGGGACTGGGGACTTGCAGTGGCCTGGGTCTCTGCAGAGACTCTCAGGAATTCCACCAGACCCTCTGAGAACAGGTGCTCCTCCTATGATCATCTCTTAGTGGGGAAACTGAGGCACAGAGCAGCTGGGGGGCCTGGGTTCTGAGAGGGGCCAGGCTGCTCGCCAAGCCTTGTGGCTCCCCACAAGCCAGGTTTGCTGGGGTTTCCAGACCCAGGCAGATGAGGACAGGGCCCATGGCTGGGCAGGGGGTGTCTGGAGGCCCAGCCCACCTCGTGTGCCCTCTGCCCTCCAGGCCTGTGGCCAGCCGCTGGGGAGTGAGATGGCCTAGAACTCAGGGCAGCCATGGAGAGCCTCAAAGACCGTGGGCCCCCCAGAAGATGGCATCCCCGAGCCCAGAGACCCCATACCCGCTGGCTCCGCCACCGCTGGCCTTCCCAAAGCCCTCCCGGCCGCCCCTCTGCAGTGGGGCCCTTGGCCCAGGGGAGAGCCCCTCGGCTCCCGGCCCAGCCCAGACCCCTGAGCCTGGATTTCCTCTTCTGTGAGTTGGGTGCTGGTGCCCTCAGGGTGAGGCCATGGGCAAGGGTCGTGGCCTAGCAGGGGAAGGAGGGTCCTGAGGATACCCTGGCTGTGCTGCCCCCACCTTCGTAGTCGATCCTCCCGTCCCCGTCTGTGTCCGCCGCCTGGATCATGGCCTCAGCCTCCTCGTCTGTCAGCGGGGCAGTGGGCCCACTGCTGGGGATGATGGACAGGATGTATCTGGGGCCGAGGGGGCTCGAGTCAGTGCCAACAGGCTTCCAGCCAGTGCCCAGTGGCTCGTGAGCCATTCACCCCCCACTTTGTAGGCGAGGACACTTCGGGCCAGGAGCCTGGGCCTGTGGGCCTCCTGGGCCTCTAGCCGGTTCTGGCCCAGCCCTGCCAGCTACAAGGCTAGCCAGGACCCGGTGGGGGAAAGCCAGGTCTGCCAGGTGGGCATTTGGTGTGGTCTGGGTGGCTTGGGCCCCACCCCTCCCCGGCCGCTGGCTATTACTTGATCTCGTTCCACTCAATGAAGCCGCTCCTGTCCTTGTCCAGGGCCTGGAAGGCCTCTCGGATGGCTTCGTCCAGCTGGCCTGAGGCGTGGAACTTGCGCATGTGCTCAAAGAACTTGAGGTAGCTGTAGGATCCTGGGGCAACCAGGCTGGGCTCACGGAGGGGCCGACCTCACTCCAGCCAGGCCTCCAGGGAAGACCCCGCCCTGGGATGGGGGCTGCCAGGTCCTGCACCCCCATGTCCCCGCCCGCCACAGGTCCTGGGGTCCTGGACCCATCAGCCCCGAAAAAGGGGTGAGGTCTCCTGACCACAGCTGGGCTGGATGGGTGGGGGCTGTGCTGGGTGGGGCATGCTGTACCGTGGTGTCTCATGTCCGTGGGGAGCAGCTCAGTGTCCTTGTCTGATAGGGACGTGCCCATGGCCAAGGCCATCTTCTTCATCTGGGAGAAGTCCTCGTCCATCCTGGTCCTGGGGTGGATAGGGAGTCAATTCATGGGGTGCACACATGGATTGGGGGTGCTGCTTGGGCCAGAGCAGACGTAGATGCCGCGTGGTGCTGGGTCCTGCCGTAAAGTGGGAACGATGACAGGTGTCATAGTGTTGGCGTCGTGGCAGGGCCCCTGAGACAGGCTGGGATCCCAGTCAGGCAGGTGGGGGTCTGGGCACAGGCAGAGGGGCCAGTGGGAGGGGCCGGGCCATCCTGTGGCCCCCACGGCAGCACCTTGTGACCTGCTGGGCTCTCAGGTTGCTGTCCCCAGCGGGGGCTGGGTTCTGGGGCTCAGCATAGCAGCTATCTCAGAGCGCAAGGGGCAGCAGGTGTCCCAGGCTTCTTGGCCCTCTTGAAAGTTCACGGGGTGGTAGAGCCTTCTGGAATGCTCTTGCTGCCAGGAGGGGAGGCCTGTGTTCTCGAATGGGGCTGGGCAGTGGCCAGAGGCATCTCTGCTCTCCTCCGGATAGAGAGGCCATAGGTCAAGGGTTGCAACCCAACCCTGGTGCCCCGGGGGGGGTGTGAGGGGTGCCAGCTGCAGCCCCTGGACCAGGTTCTGCTCCCCAACCCGTGGTGCCTCCAGCTGCCATGTGATATGGGGAGACACCTGCCCCTTCACGGGGTTGTGCGAGGAGCCAGGAGAGAAGGGAGATAGTGGGGAATGGGCTTGTCCGCTGCTGTGGGGCTGGAGCTGGGCCCCCAAGGCCCCTGCAGTGGCTGATTCCCCCAGCCAGCAGGGTGGTGGTGAGCGGGCATGTGGGGCAGGCCTGGGCCTCCAAGGCCCTCAGGACAGGCCCTGCCCCACTTCATTCAGAGCTGGAACTCTGGTTCCCCTCCTCCAACCCTGGCATCTGGGGGACCCGTTCTGGAAGAGAGGACACCTGCTTACCACTTGGGGCCCCAGGCCCAATGTCACCTCCTTTACAGAGGAGGGGCTGGGCCAAATTCCACGCTAAACGTGGCCGAGCCAGGAACCAATGTCCCATCTGCCGAGCGCTGGGGGCGCCCCTGGGCTGGGCTCGTTCACCACCCCCAATCCCACTGCTTTCAGGGGTGCCCCCAACAAAGGCAGGGGAGCCTGGGATCCGGGCTGGAGACAGGGTGGAGGCAGGCCTGGAGCTCCAGACTGCTGGTTTATTTATAGCTCCTGCATCGCCGGCCCGGGCTGCAGTTTAACGGGATCCAAGTGAGCCAGGATGTCCTGCGGGGGGAGGCTGTGGGACACCACACGAGCTATCCTTAGGCCCTGCCTGGACTCTGGGGGCTGCCCTCAGTGCCGGGAAAGGCCCTGCCGAAAGGCCTCTTTTTCCCCACTCCCTTTACCCACCCTCCACAGCTGGAGCTCCTGGAGCCTCCAGGCTGGGCTAAGACCCCTCAGAGCACACACCTCCCCAGCATTGCTACATCTGGGTTGCCCCGCCCCGGGCCTTCCGGACCTTCCGTTCTTGGAGGCTGTGGTTTGCCCACAGCAACTAGCCTCTGCCACCTAGTTGCCAAGGGCAGATGCTGAGATGAGAGAGGCCTCTCGGGGGAACAGGTGATGGAGGCAGTGGGATCCCTCTGGCAGGGCACGGGGACCAGAGCCAGCTCTGTGTGCCTGCTGGAGTCTGGGGGCCAGAGGCCTTGGACCCGCTGCCCTGCCAGCCACACCCCATCTCCATCCCCACTCAGAGCCTGGGGGCCTAGGGGCAGAGTGAGCAGGCCCAGCTCCCTATGCGGAGGCCCCAGCTCTCAGCGCCTCTTGTAGCCGTGCCCACAGAGGCTCGCGCCAGCACACGCGTGTACGCACATGTGCCCCACAGGACCAGGCACGTGCAGCGGTCTTCCATCCGGGGGCCCCCTTGGGGCTCATAGTGGTGATACTGGCAGGAAGGGTCATTCCTTCTCTTTCCACTTCCTTTCCCCGCCTCCCCTGGGCTCCCTGGGGTCTCCCAGGGCCACCCTTGTCCTGTGGATGAAGAGGAGTCCCCCAAGTTCCCACCATCCAGCTCGGATAACCTCAGCTGCCAGGGACCCACACCCCTCCTTGGCAGGGCTCACCTCTGGCTTCTTTTGAGAGTTCTGGGAAGGTGGGTCAGGCGGGGGTGCGGAGAGGCCCAGGGGCTCCAGCTTTTATACCTGCACGCCTGTTTACATCTTGGGGCTGCAGCTGTCCTCGCCCCTCTCTGGCACTCCAGCCTGGCACAGGCAGCTCCCAGGGGCTCGCAAGCACTTGGTGTGTCCACACTGGGCTGGGCAGACTGACCCTTAACCGCGCCTGGCCTCCCCAAACCTGGGGTGGAGTTAGGGAGGAGCAGAGGGCACCAGTGAGCCGGTGAGCGGGTGACCGAGGCCAGCTGGGCAGACAGCAGCTGGAAACCTGAGGTCAGAGGGGCTGAGGGACCTGCCCAAGGTCACGGGGCTGGAACCCAGGCCTCAGGCCTCCAGTGCAGTGGGTTGTACACAGTGGGAGGGGCTGCGGGTGGTGCGTGGGTGCGGGAGATTGAGGCTGGGGACCCCGTCCCCCCAGCTCTGGTGCAGGAAACAGGCTCCAGGGCCAGGCACGTGAGTAGGGTTTGAAGGGGCAGCCAAGTGGGTGCTGCAGCCCAGCCTGGGGGCTTGGGCCGGCGGGAAGGGGCACAGCGCAGCCTGCAGGCTGGTGGGAGTGGGGAGGCTCCAGGCTCCTACGGGACAAAGCTTATCCAGGCCAGGTCCTCCTCACAAACCACGGTGCCTCCCCTGCTGGGGGGCAGGAAGGGCCAGGGTGATCCCTGGCTGGCTCTGAATATACCAGGGGCATGGTCCCCTTCTGCCAGGGAGGGTGGTGCTGGCAGCCCCGCCCCGTGGGGTGGTCATGCAGGGCACGGCAGGTCTGTGAGCAAGCCAGGGACGGTGCTGCCTGCCGGGGTGGGGGGCCGGGCTTTCTACTGGAGGCCACGGGACCACCAAGGCCTCTTACGTAGGCCGTGGTAGCCTGCTTATTTTGGAGGTGTGAGGATATTGTCCCCACTAATGAAGGTGACAGTCATGATATGTGATAGGTGACAATGAATGTAATAACAGTGTCATCTGCCATTGGCAGGGCCCCGGGGGTCTCGGACTGCCACAGCAGCCTTTTTTTTTTTTTTTGAGATGGAGTCTTGCTCTGTCACCCCAGGCTGGAGTGCAGTGGTGCGATCTCGGCTCACTGCAAGCTCCGCCTCCCAGGTTCACGCCATTCTCCTGCCTCAGCCTCCGAGTAGCTGGGACTACAGGTGCCAGCCACCTCACCCGGCTAATTTTTTGTATTTTTAGTAGAGACGGGGTTTCACCGTGTTAGCCAGGATGGTCTCGATCTCCCGGCCTCGTGATCCACCCACCTTGGCCTCCCAAAGTGCTGGGATTACAGGCGTGAGCCACCGCACCTGGCCCACAGCAGCCTCTTGAAGGAGCCTCCATTATCCTCCTTCTTCAAGAGACCCCAGGAGCTGAGGAGACGAACCCGGTTCCATGTGGTTCCAACGGGGCTGCAGGGCCCATCCCAGCCGGGTATAGAGGTCGGGGCCACCTGGAGCTTCAGGTCGGTTATCAGGGAGATGTCCAGGCCGGGACACGGAAGGGGACACTGGTGGATCCTCCCAGGTCACTTTCCCAAAGGGCTGAGCCCTCCCTGGCCCCAGCAGCAATTAGTGGCCAGTAAAATTCTTGCCCAACTTTGGCCTTTAAATGAATGTGATTGTTTTAATTAGGATGATTGAAATATTATCTGTAATAACTTTTGGATGAGATGAAGCAGTTAGGATTATTACAGAACATTTGGAATATGCAAGCGAACACGATGCAGATAAAGTCACCTGCAGAACACACGTTTGATGCTGGAGAATGTCCAGGCTCGGTGGGTGCCTTTTCCTCCATTTCCTTAGTGCTTTTCTTCTTTCTTGTTTGCCTTTTTATCATGATAAAATTCACATAGCATAAATTTACCATCTTTGCCCTTTTAAATTTGCTATATTGATACAAGTGCTACATTATCACCTATCACCTGTCACCAGGCTGGAACAGTAGCACAATCTCGCCCTGCAACCCTCCGCCTCCCAGGTTCAAGGCAATTTTCCTGTGTCTCAGGCTCCAAGTAGCTGGAATTACAGGTGCAATGCTGCCACGCCTGGCTATTTCTGTATTTTTAGTAGAGACGGGGTTTCACCATGTTGACCAGGCTGGTCGCGAACTCCTGACCTCAGGTGATCTGCTACCTTGCCTCCCAAAGTGCTGGGATTACAGGGTGTGGTGTGACCCACCGTACCTGGCCACCTTTTTTTTTTTTTTTTTTTTTTTTTGAGATGGATGTTTAAGCAGGGAGCGGGTGGCTCACGCCTGCACAATCCCAGCACTTTGGGAGGGCCGGAGCAGGCAGATCACCTGAGGTCAGGAGTCGGAGACCAGCCTGGCAACATTGTGAAACCCGTTCTACTATAAAAATACAGAAATTAGCCAGGGGTGGTGGTGGGAGCCGTGGAGTTCCAGCTACTTGGGAGGCTGGAGGCAGCAGAATTGCTAGAACTCGGGAGGCAGAGGTTGCAGTGAGCTGAGATTGTGCCACTGCACTCCAGCCTGGGTGACAAAGAAGACTCTGTCTCAAAAAAAAAAAAAAAAAAAAAAATGGTGATTATACTCCATTGCATGGTTGGACCACATTTTGAGTATTCATTTGTCTGTTCATGGACCCTAGATTTTTCTTCTATCTTTTGGCAATTGCGAATAATGCTGCTATGAACATGGGTGTACAAATGTCTCCCTGAGAGCCTGCTTTCAGTTCTTTTGGGATGATAACTAGAAGTGGAATTGCTGGCTGATGCGGTTGTGCTAATTTAAGTGTTTGAGGAGCTGCCATAGGGTTTCCATGGCAGCCGCACTGTTTTCCATTCCCACTGGCAGCGCACAGGGGCCGACTGCCCCACATCCTCACCAATACTTGTGATTCTCTTCTCTGAGAGTTTTTTTTTTTTTCAAATAGCAGCCATCCTAAGGGGTGTGAGGTGGCATCTCATTGTGTTTTGTTTTGTTTTCATTTTTGTCTTTCG